TGAAATATTAAAAATCTTGATTATTTTAAACAATTTTACGCATTTTTTTCATAATTTTACAGTAAAAAATAGTGATATTTAATATGTTTTAGTTACGTTTTTTTTATTAAGACATTTATATATACTTTTCTTTGCTTTTTATGTAATTTTTTTTGGTTCATAATACTTTTTTTTGTATTTTTTCTGATTTTTTTTGATTATTTGGGCACTTTTAATAGTTTAAAGCAAAGAAAACATTAAAATTTGAGGTTGTTTTCACTTTTTCGGCAAAGTCCACAAAAAATTGGGCATTTTTAAGGCGTTCCGGCTTAGTGAATAATTACCATTTGTTTTTTCTCAGAAGTATCAATAGAGTATAAAATATCAATCAGAGTATAAATACCATCGAGCAAAAAGATAAAAGAGGGAATGTAAAGGTAGTGGGGACAAAATATTGTTAGACAGGAAGTGCTATCTTGAGAGGCCACTTTAAACAAGGATAGACAGTCTCTTTCCTTGTTTAAGAAGTCAAATTTAGTTTGGTTATGTTATTGTTTGTCCCAACTGTCACATGAAATTTTATTTATATTGAAGTTTTTTACCAATTGTGTCACTTTTTAGACTATTATCGTCAATATTTAATTAAAACTTTCTTGTCTGAAAAATATTTTACAGGTATTGTTAACAAGTGTTGGAAAATTTAAATTTAGCGCCTTTGCATTTCCGGATATGCCCGCCATCAGAGGCCACTTTTTTGGTCTCCTTTTCATAACGATTAGATTCCCTCTTTTATCTTTTTGCTCGATGATAAATACACAGGACACGAGACAGATCCTGGCCGGATGGAACTGGTAGCTAAGTCCAACCAAATAAATGAAGCAGAAGAAGAAGGTTATGTGTTAATGACACTGACACTGATAGTTGTTCGCCTCTCGACAAGACGACAACAAACAACAGTTGTTAGGTTGTTATTTATACTGTGGTTAATGATTTGTTTAAGTTGTATTTATTTCAACCTAAGAGTTATTTTTTGATAAAAATTTAATTAAAGTCTTTTATTATTTTTATCCGGGCACAAATCGGTGGTTGAAAAGGCTTAAAAAATTAAGAAAATACTGGAATATCGAAAATGGCATCGGATTGGACACTCGAAGAGAAACATCAGCTGCTGAAAGGATTGAAACAATTCGGGTCGACAAACATAGATGCATTACATAAATCTGTACCCACCAAAACCCCTATAGAAATCCAAGTATTGTGTAATGAATATGCTAAAGCTGCCTTAAATAAAGATGCATTCCAAAATAAGGTTCCTCCAATAAAAAAATGGCTTTTAGTTTTAAAAAGACTTCAACATGGAAATCCCGACAATGTTCATGATTTAATTCCTAGAATACTGAAATACATTGCATTATATGAGAAAAGAGGGGGTTCAAAATCGCTTAACTTGAGTCAGTGTTATTTAGCACTATCTACTATGTGCCGTGGACTAGATAATAGTGAATTAGATGATAATAGTGAATATTTCATATATGAGTGTTTGACAAAACTTGGGAAGTGTATAAAGTATAGTGGATGTAAATCATATCAGAAGTATATTCGGCTTAAAACAACTTTAAATAATGTTAATGAAAAGGATATTGTTTTAAACCCATTGGAAATTCCTAGCCATTTTACAAAAGGGGGAAATAATGCAGAGTTAAAGGAATGTGTGTAATATTACACATAAACAAGAAATGTTACAGCACAAAACTATTTTTGTGGCACAGAAAGTATTACTAAGATTTTATATAAGTGGTTGACTGTACTAAATAGTAAAGACTATCAAAAATAGAACAATGTTAAATAATATTAATGTGTCAAAATTTTGATGTAAAAATAAAATTAGCTTCTAAATCTACATATCTTTATTTCATATATTTTGTGTCAAAGGGAAAAATTAGTCCCATATTTGAGAAAACAAATAAAACACAAGTATTGACAAAGACAAATAGTTTAGTAATATATTTATAATAACATTCTACATTCAATAATGTACATAAAAAGTTCTACAAGGACTAGAACCCAACATGCAACCATAGGTTATCAAATTCATTCAGACTCAAAACAGCTTTTCCAAAAATATGACTTTTACTCTTGAAAAAGTACCTTCAGTTTGACAATGTTGAAAATGTTTATCACAAAACATTGGCAGCAAAATTAACAATTAAGTGTACATATACAATTGCACTAATTTACATTTTTTATTTTTCAAAACCTATCTCTACAATAACAACAATTTATCACATAATTTCGATATAAAAAATATCTAAAGCATTGTAATATTTTCCACTCTTATGTTCTATAATTCAACATAATTTTTTTTATTCGCCATCTGGACTTCCGCCGAATACACTAACAGTACCTAACTTACTCAACAAAATGCTCGTCAGGAAAAAGCTGCAATAATATAGTAACATGGAATTTTGTTGAAAAATTTTTTGTGGGAAGTGTAGCTTTCTGATTGTCTAAGCATATAGTGATAGTTTTTAATTTAATTTATTCAATTCATTTTATTTAAAAATATGCATGGGACTGTTACTACTCCACATAGCATGTGGTCATACAATCTGTTGTCACTTCACATTTCTTTTATTATTTTTTTTTGTAGCCCACAATAAGAAAGATATGCCTCCAATTACTCTATTGCTTTATATGAATCTCTGATGTTTATCAATAAATTTATAACCCCCTCTGTGGCTCAGTGGTAAGAGCGCCTGCCTTTAAATCTAAAGGTCGTGAGTTCGAATCCCACCTGGGTGGAAATTTTCGTTTATTAAAAAAAAAAAAATTAATAAATGAAAATAATTTCTATCCTTGTGTGATCGGTACACACCGGAGGGACCGCAGACGTTCGGATACAATTAGCGTCTCTTAGCAAAGACAATGACGTCGACTTTGCTAAGTATCAAGACAATTACTCTACACACACACACACACACACACACACTACACCTCAAATTGTAAGATTGGCGAATGGATTTAGTGTCCGCAGTCATTTAAACACAAACAAACAACAACAATAAATTTATAATAATAATTTAAAATTTGGTCTTTTTACAAAAATTTACTTCAAACTTTTAATGGCATGAAAATGTACCATACTCAATTTTAATCCTAAGTTGCTCCTCTATGTTAATCTGGGTTCTATATCATTAAGTGTACACATATATAGCAGACCTACAATTTAACAACTTAGTGAATTGGAGCTTCATTAGATAAATTTACATTTCAAAGTTTGTCAGTGCCTTCAAAACAACCTTATCAAATTTTTCACTCTGAGCTATGTAGCTTGAAAGTAAGTATATTATCTATGGTGAGTGATTCTACTTTGAAAGAGATTCACTACACATGTTTCATATATACTGTTTTATTCACTTGTTCAATAAAAGTGATGTTCTATTTTTCTGAATTTGCTAACACATTGGTTGATTGTAAAAAAATGTTTAAGAATAATTTTGACCTTAATTTAGAAAGGTCTGCGGAGAGTGGTTCATAAATACTTTTCAGGCAATTATTAGACCTGTAAATCTTAAAGTTGGTTCCTTCTTAAGCTTCATGGCTATTCTTGTTATACGAGAGATAATACATTTTAAAATAAGTTTAGAAATAACAATCATATTCAAACTCAACCCAATGTATACACACTATATCTCATTTATTTTAATGTTGTTTTGTTACTTAAGTATTCTAAACCTGCTGGATGTATTCTAAACCTGCCAATGGATTCTTCTGATGAAAAAAACTGTTTTTTTTTTGTTAGTTGTGTGAATGTTAATATACCTAATTTAAAAAAATGTATTTAAAAAATTTCCTTGATAAAAGGTATAATAATAAAAACCCTATCTGTCTACATCACAGAATGTTTTCTGAATAACTAATCATCAATGCAATCTGTATGTACTTGTTTAAAGCTACTAAATATGTTGGTAAAAACCCTTTAAATGGAGTTTGATTAACTTTGAGTTACATCTTTGATATTTAACAACTATGTTGTTTAAGTTATAAAAAAAATTAATCACATGGCAATGTATGACTCCATTGGGGTTGCTAGTCCTTAGACGAAGTGACTGTGAGGACTTGTTGATAGACTATTGACATATACTTTAAACTCATACAAAAACTCACACTTCACACCAGTAATATTGCAAGCTAGCTGTCTGTTGCTTTATCTTTAATACCTTGCGTTTTAACAGCTGTCAACATTTTTTCTCAGGCAAACTTATATCATATTAAGAAAAAAATTGTAAGTTTGATTAACTAAGTTATGAATGTAGTGATCCTATAGTGTAATCTTAGGCTAATATTTTCTAACTGTTCTCAACAAAACCTGATTTGTCAATAAATATGTCCAATAACAATATACTCAGTTAACTATTCCCAGTCCGAACTGTCTAGTGAATTTAGTAATTATTTTTTTGCGAAGTTCGTTTTTTGACAGACTAAAAGTGGCTGAAAATTACTTCACAACGAAGCACACATACTCAAAGAGAATATTAATAGTAAACAAACTAAATAGTAAATAAAATAGAACTTTCTGAATTACTGACAATCAATATTTATTTATCTGCACCATATAATAAATAGTTATGTTAAATTATAACAACTAAAATATATTTTTTAAATATATACTACCCAAAATATAATGGGTTTAGACTTCCACTATTTAGAATAATTCTTCTTTTTTCATAGAAAGAAGTCTGCAATAGTAGTATACTTGAGCTATTAATACTGAGAAGTAGGAATTGTTGTGTTCTAGGTTTCCAACAATGAATCTGTCAAAATATGCCCGAGCTAAGCGAATGGAGTATACTAAATAATTTTAAATAGAGATACCTAGGAAAATATATTCCAAACACTTTTACAAATATATTTTATTTAATAATAAAGAATATAAAATAAAATTATGAAACATTTTCACCTATGTATCTATAACATTAGTGGATGAACATTGAATTAAAAAACATAGGTAGTTCAGACACTATATATATATATATATATATATATATATATATATATATATATATATATATATATATATATATGTATATATATTTTTTATAGTAAAATCATAAATGCCCATGAGTTGATCAGGCGTGGTACAGATAATTTGGAATTTATCACTTGATCTGATGAAATGCACTACACGAATAGTTAGAAAAATTTTGCTCCTTGTATATCATCTTCTAGTATAAGTTCACATTTTCTTTCATTTTCTAGAGCCCTCAAAACTTTAATAAGTACATCTTGATTCATTCCAAAAAATATTGCATCTGAAACATCCTCTCCTTGTGTGAGTTCAAATAGTGTAACCACCGTATTTTGCATACCTCTTTCACAAATAGAATCATATATAATGCTAGCCCATTCCTCTAGGGTATGCCAATAGATTTCCCATCGATTTTTATTTTTATCTACTGGAGATGCATGGCCACTTTTTTGTAATTCGCTTAGTATAGAGATTATAACCGTTTGGTCTAATTTTCTGTTTATTAATGAATTATTAAATAAAGGTGTTTGGTTTGTGTCTCTGACATCTAGGGTGTATGTTTTGGTTTGCTCACAAAAGTTTAAAATTAATGATTTCCATGCATCTACTTGTTTTGCTCTTGTTTCAGGATGTGGTTGTAATGTGAAAAACGGTGGAAAATTGTATTGCCATGGCCATTCAATATCTACTTCTGGCATTCTGTATTCACTAATTTTGTAATTTTTTAATTTTTAATAAACTATTCAACATCTGTCAACTACAATTAGACATTAGACGTCACATGTCCCGTCACTGATCATGACGTGTCATGACAGCCAACTTTCGCACTATGGATATATTATAAAGGTTACCAACAACAAATTAGCAACGAATAATAATAATATATTCGTTGATACTCAGCCTTGTGACACGGAATAATAAATAATTAGAACACAGAATACACAGAAGTGATCAGTTGCTCACTTTGCTTGAAAAAAATAAGTACGGGCATCTCGTTCGCGCAGACGGAATCAGTCCCGTCACAGTCCCGGCGCCGAACCGGTCCTGTTTGGTCACAGAACTATTAATTATCTGACAGCTGGGAAACTGTTCGTCAACTGATGATTGTGTATGCCGGCGGCATATTTCTATTAAAGAATATTTTGTATGACGGATTGTTCGGTTCGGCGTCGGGACTGTGACGAGACGTGACTGATGTGTTTGAATCGACCTTTTAATATATTTAGGCAACTATTTGCACATTTGACATATTACGCACTATTTTATTCGTACTTTTAAGTAGTTGAAGAATAGATTAAATTATGTCAAATGTACTAAATTAGTAATCTATAAAAATTTAAATTATAGTTTTGTCGTAGCTTGTCACAAATTTCTCAGTACGATCCTATGTTTCCGTTTAAAATATGGCGATCACGTCCTGACAAACTTCAAATGCGGCATCTGAGAGTGGGCATTCCGATTTTTATTTATTCTGTGGTCGTAGCTTGTCACAAAAAAAACAAGAAAAAAAAAATCTCCAAGAATATAAGAGAACAGATACCATCATTAGAACAAAAATAAGAGAAGCCAAAAAAAAAAACAAAAAACAGAACAATGTCCAGAAATAGAGGAGTATCAGAGTCGATATGATAACTTCAATGTTTATCGAAAGGTGTAACGAAAATATTTTGCCTACCTCAGGGTAAGATATAGGGGGAAAGATCGGACAAGCAAAATAAATGCTACTTGTGCGAACGGCATTAAGGGTTTGTTAGGAGAGCTGGGGTCGTGGATAAGTAAAAGATAAGGGGGTGGATTGGGGCAACTACAAACATATGAAACAAAAGATCATGAATTTCTTGGGATAAACAAAGCAAAAAGAAACAGGAAACACCTCTAGTAATTTAATATAGGGCGCCACTTTGAGGTGCCTAATTATACCTATTACAACCAGTAGTTGTAACTAAGGAAATAATTATTAAACATAAAAAACATGTCTTTTTCAAATAAAACTAAAAAAGGGTTAAAAAAAGGTAAAAAAAGAAACGACGAAATCATCTTAAGAATTCATTCACATAACTTGGAATAACAAACACTTGACAGGAATTAAAACGCAGAAGATTCTATTTCTACAACGTACAAAAATTATAAGGCGACTTCGAATAAAACATTAAAAGAAAATGCCGAGATAGTACACATCTTTAAAATATTAAACAACTCTAAAATGGTTTTTATTACTAGGCAACGCTAAAATGAATTGAAAGAATTTGGTGTTTTAATACGTACGAATCGGAAATTGAAACACATTAAAAAATATTCTGCGATTTCTTAAACATATATGAGGGGATTTCAATATATAACATATACGAGGGGATTTCAATATACACCAAAAACATCAATGAATTGCTAATGCTACAAAGGTGAAGGAAATATCTGGAAAGTTCCGAAAACGCAACAGCGGAAAAATAACAGATGATGAAGGCAATCTTGCCATAACCAAGGAAGATAAAAAGAAAGTATGAGAAGAATACTTGGAAAAGCTTTTCCATGACCCTAGAACAATACAAGAGCCCACCATTGAAGAAAATTTAGGTCCCGAAATCCTACCAGAAGAAATAACGGCAGCCGTCAAACAAATGAAGGATGGAAAGGCACCGGTACTCGAAAAAATTCCTGCAGAACTATTGAAGCTATTAGATGAAGAACAAATAAAAATAATAACTGAAATATTTAATAAAATATACAAGGCAGGGAAAATACCAGTAGAGTGGTCCAAATCGGAGTTCGTACCATTGGCCAAAAAACCAGGAGCAAAAGTTTGTGAAGATTATATAGGACCATAAGCCTAATGAGAAATCTGCCGAAGCTCTTTTTAAAAACCATCCACAAAAGAATTTACCGGAAATGCGTGGAACAAATTGCGTCCAATCAGTTTGGATTTGTGAACGCCGTTGGTACGAAGGAAGCTTTATTTAGCGTGCATATATTGTTTCAGAAATGTAGAGATGTCAGCTGTAATGATTTTGCATGCCTATTAACTACAAGAAGGCCTTCGATAGTCAGACATGAACAAATGATGGAAGTGCTGAAGAGGACAGGGATTGACGAAGACTTAAAAATAATAGCTAACCTGTATTGGAATCAATCAGCGGTACTCCGAATAGATGGAGAATATACAGATCAGGTTAAAATCTTAAGGAGAGTGAGACAGGGGTGCATAATTTTACCACTGTTATTTAATCTGTACTCGGCAGCACATTTTTGAAGAGGCTCTAAAAGATATTGATAAAGGAATCTCAATAAATGGAGTAAAGCTCAATAACCTGCGGTATGCAGATGATACAATAGTGTTTTCCAATACCATAGAAGAGCTGCAAAATTTAATGAACAAAATAACGGAAACAAGTAGAAAATATGGACTGGATATAAACACCAGTAAAACCAAGCTAATGATCATCAGCAAGGAAAACATAACTGGAGCAAATCTGTATGTGAACCAAATGAGTATTGAACGAGTCTCACAATACAACTACTTGGAAACTATACTAAGTGACAAAGAAATCTGAACACCCAGTTTAAATGATTTTATTTCAATAAAATTTGGTGTTATTTATTTATCTTACTGAAAAAAAAACAAGTGATAAAGTTTTTAGCCTTCGGTTTTTCTACTTTTTGTTTTTAAATTCACCAACAATCTAAAAATGAATATTTTAGTCGCAGTAAAGATCCAAATTTGGCGGATTGTGGTTCTTGACATTCTTTACGATTGGTTACGATGCGTGGAGTACGGAGACCTGTACGATTTTGTCAACTTAGTGGGTTTGATAGGAGCCGTATAATGGGACTTCGGGAAGCTGGACTTTCTTTTTGGGAAGTTGCAGTTAGAGTGCAAAGAAGTGTAGACACCGTGGTTAGGTGTTGTTAGGTATGGCTTCAAGAAGGCCGCACGTAAAGAGCAAGGGGCACTGGATGCCGCCGTCGAACAATAGACCGTGAAGATCACCGCCTAAGAATATTGGCCTTAAGAGACCGTTTCTCCACTACCAGCTCCATTGTAAAGGAATGGTTTGCAGAACACGAAAGACCTATTGGCATGCGACGTGTTTACCGACGAATGAGAAGTTTTGGCCTGTTTTCATATCGACCACACTTTGGTCTTCCCTTTTAGTCCAGAACACCGCCGTAATTGCCTTAAGTGGTGCAGAGAACGGTCACTCTGGAATCAGGAATGGAACAGTATTGTCTTTAGCGGCGAGTCTTGATTTTGTTTAGGTATGCACGATGATCGAGCGAGGGATGGAAGGCGACGTGGTGAAAGGAGGAATCCATAGTTTTTTGTTGAAAGATATGTTCATCACACTGTTGGAGTTATGGTTTGTGGGGCTATAGCTTATGGTTCCAGGTCACCTTTAATCTTCATCAGAGGTAACATGAACGCGCAGCGTTATATCCAAGAAATTCTAGAACCCCACATTTTACCCTATCTTGACACCCTGCCAAATCCAACTTTCCAACAAGATAATGCTCGACCACATGTTGCAAGAGTCACAATAGACTTCTTTCAACATAATGATGTCACATTGTTAGCATGGCCACCAAGATCTCCCGACTTATCCCCAATTGAGAACTGAGAATGAGAATTGGGATATGATGGGTAGGGGATTGCTCATCGGGGTGCATCCACATATTATTAAAGGTAAAAGGGCTTTAACGCAATGCAATCATTTTGAAATTTTAATTTAATTTAATCATTAACTTATTATGCTTCATTAAGTACTTATATAAAATTTTATTAAAATAAAATCATTTAAACTGGGTGTTCGGATTTCTATGTCATTTAGTATATAATCAATGAGTCGTAGGACAATACCCAAGATATTAAATGTTGCATCGGAAAGGCAAAGAGTGCATTCTTGACTATGAGTTCTGTGTTCAAGAGCCATGACATCACCCTAGAAACAAAAATAAGGCTCCTTAAATGTTACAAGTACTCAGTGCTTCCATGCGGAGTAGAAACGTGGACATTGAAGGCGGAAACTATCAAAACTTCAGGCTTTTGAGTTATGGTCATACAGAACGATCTTAAAGATACCATGCACAAACAAAGGCACCAATGAAGAAGTACTGCGGAGGATGAACAGTACTGAGGATTTGGTCAACATCGTGAAGGGTCGTAAGCTGCAGTACTTGGGCCATACAATGAGAAATCAAGTCAAATATGAGCTACTTTAATGCATTTTATAAGGTACAATTGAAGGAAAAAGGGCCCCAGGACAAAAAGAATATCCTGGCTTGCTAACCTGAGAGCATGGTATAGAAAGACCTCAACACAGCTATTTCGTATAGCAACCAGCAAAGTCATTATAGCCAGAATGATCGCCAACGTTCGGAACGAACAGGCACCCTAAGAAGAAGAAGCTTGTCACAATTTCTCAATTCGAGTCTATATTTCCGTTTAAAATATGGCGATCGCGTTCTGATAAACTTCAAAGCCGGCATCTGAGAGTAGGAATTCTGATTGTTATTTATTCTGTGCTATTCTGTGTTATTCTTCTGTGTTATTTATTCATATCAAAAACGTTATATGAAATGTTAACACGTTATGTTAAAATAACGTTAGATCATAACAGCTTGTATAACGTGTTGCCAACAATTAGATGTGATGTATCAACCTAACGTGCACGTTATGAAACGTTATACTCAAAACGTTAAAGTAGAAGAAAGTATTGTCTTGCGTGACAAGAATAACACTATAGAGATTCTCAAAAGAGATGAAAAGTCTATTAGCAG